CTCGGGAGGGGTGTCGGCCACAACTGCCAGCTCCCTAGTGTTCCCCCCTCTGCCCCCATTCCGGAGGGAACACTGGGTAAGCTGACAGCTTGTTTGTGCCTTGCCCTCAGACTTGCCAGTAGTGCAGTGTCACATTTTTATTACTATCATTCCTGTCCTGCTAGTTTAGTCAGGCTCAGTGTGGTGCCCCAATACCCACTCTCCTGTTTGCCACACAGGATACCTTAAAGGGCCACCATCCCACTTTAGGTTGTTAAAGGGGCCAGATTGGGTTTTTATTTCACTTTGTATTCCCTGCCATGCAGAACCCCACAGATCAGGAGAGGGCCACCATGCCTACCGGCAGCTTGGGTGCCAACCCCAGCGGGCCCCTGGCCCCACGACCCACACTCCCTCAGGGGGAAGAGTTGGGGCGGTAGAACAATTAAATTCAGAGGAGTTTCACTCCCTACTTGACGCGACCATGGCAAAATCGTTCACGCAAGCCATATTCACAGCAATGGGGACAATATCTGATAACTTAACTCAGTCCATTAGCCACGACATCATGGCGTCCGGCCAGGGCTCCGGTGACCACGACTCCAAGGCCCCAAATACTGAGCCTGCCCCCCTTAGAGGTCTCAAGGCTACAGACCCACCACTTGGGCACATACGCCTCCAAAACTGTTGTGACGGACAGGTTGCGCCCTGTCAATAATGAGGACGTGGGGCCCCCACGTAAGAGAGCCTCCCACCGTGCAAAAGCGGTGCGGTCTTGGAAATGGGCGAAAGCCAATAATGATATTTCCGATTCTGATTCGGATCAAGAGGAGGTATGGAGTGAGTCCGAAGGTATGGGCTCGCAAAATTCAGAGGACTCGTCCCCAGAACGAGACCGTTCAGACAAGCCACCCACTAAGGGTCACGGCAAGGCGGATGATTCCGTTATTTTGGACCCGCAAGGGGAACCTCTTTTCGACCCGGACGACCTACAACACCCTAGGTCGACCGAGTGGTTCCCGGCGGACCATGTGGCCCAATATATCGCGGCCAGGATTAGAAAGCCCCTAGACAAGGCTACAAGAAATAAATTGAGGGCCGAATGCCCTCGCCCAACAGTCCCTGATTTGGTGTGCGTTACGCCCGAATTGGACCCAAAGATTGCCCAGTTTCTGGGACGATCGGGCTGGAAAGCCAAAAAGGGCCTGGACTATTCCTTACGCCATTGTCAGGATAAGGTGCTTGACTCATTGGGCCCCAGTGCTAAAATCTTCGACATGGTCGAAGAGACAATCTCAAATGGCACGCCGGTGGACGTCCTGGCTATCCGGGTGTGGGCGCAACGCTCCATTTGTCTCATTGGTAACTCCAACGCCGCTCTCTGTACTGAGAGACGAAAGGCGGTCCTTATGAAGATCGACCCGAAGTTGGTCAATATGGCCATTGCAGAACCCGGGCCTCAGGCAAAGGGTCTCCTATTTGGGGATAATTTTGTTAAGGAGTTGGGCACCTATGTTAATACGTTCACCGCCCTGGACAAGGCACAATCAAACTTAAAGCGGGTGTTCGCCCCAAAGGTTTTCGGGGGGGCTGGCAGACACCGGAGCCGTCTGTCCAGCCGGTCCTCACGGAGCTCCTATCGGGGCTACCGAGGCTCCCCTGCACCCAGATTCCAGGCACCAGAGGTCAGGAACCCTACACCATTTTTCCCTGTCCGGGGCAGACCATGGCAACCCAGAGGGCGTAGAGGCTCTACATATGGCCGACGACCTTATGGTAAGTACCATCTTTCCTTCCCGGGTTTATTCTTCAGCTGTAGGGGGCAGACTAGCTCATTTTCTCAAGGCGTGGCAAAGCCTCACATCCGATGTTTGGGTTCTCCACGCTGTAGCGGGGTACCAGATAGATTTTGTGCAGCCCCCATTACAACTGGCGGCCCCTCGGCCCATGATCTTTTCCTCGACAGACAAGAACCTCGTGTCGCTGGAAATCAGATCTTTACGGGAAAAAGGCGCGATTTACCGAGTCGCACCCCATTCCCCGGGTTTCCTAAGCAACCTCTTCCTGGTCCCCAAAAAAGGTGGAGGGGTGAGACCAGTGATAAATTTACGCCCCCTCAAGGTATTTGTAAGATACCAACACTTCAAAATGGAGGGCATCCATTGCCTGCGGGACCTCCTCAGGCTGTCGGACTGGATGGTCAAACTGGACCTCCAGGATGCCTATCTTACTGTCCCAATAGCGGAAGAATGCCACCACCTCCTCCAGTTCCCATGGGACGGTCACATGTGGAGGTTCAAGTGCCTCCCGTTCGGCCTGTCATCCGCCCCATGGTGCTTCACGAAGCTCATGAAACCGGCGGTGGCCCTGCTTCGCAGCAGAGGAGTGCGCATGATCGTCTATCTGGATGATATCTTGATTATGGCCCAAGAGGTACATGTGCTCCGACAACATCTGTCATGGACGATTCACCTGTTACGCAACCTCGGGTTCCTTATCAATTGGGACAAGTCAGTATTGACTCCCTCACAATCCATGGAATTCCTGGGTTTCTCCATCAACGCTGTCCAAGGAACCTTGAACTTGCCGCAAAGGAAGATCAAAGTAATCAAAAAGGAGATTCACAGATCCCTTCGGCAACCGACGATCACGGTGCGCCAACTAGCCAGGATAATCGGACTCCTCTCCGCCTCCATCTAAGCGATATTCCCCGGGCCTCTCCACTACCGGGCTCTGCAGAGACTAAAGACCACACATCTTCAATCGGGTCTCTCTTATTCAGACTCCGTACCGCTCGATCACACGGCCAGAGCGGAACTCAACTGGTGGTTACAGCACATGGAGGCTTGGAACGGGAGAGCGATTTTTGGCGACCTTCCGGACTGCGTAATAGAATCAGATGCCAGCACACTGGGCTGGGGAGCGCGTTGTGGGCATACTTCCACAGGCGGAAAATGGTCACATTCAGAAAAGACGATGCACATCAACGGCCTGGAACTTATGGCGGGATCATTCGCACTGAAAAGCCTACTGGGCTCCAGGACCCATTGCTCTGTCGTCCTACGGATGGACAATGTTTCAGCGGTACAGTACATCAACCGCCTGGGCGGCACAAGATCCAAACTATTGGCGGATCTGGCCATGGAGTTTTGGCAGTTTTGTCTGGACCGCAATATATCGGTACGGGCCGAATACATCCCAGGCCTATCGAACACAGTAGCGGATTGGAATTCCAGACACCTAAGGGACAACGGCGATTGGCGCTTGAAGCGGGATATATTCCTGCGCCTGCAGACGTTGTGGGGCCCACTACACATGGATCTGTTAGTGTCTCGGTTGAATACACAACTGCCAGAGTTCTTCAGCTGGAGACCGGACCCGGATGCAGTGGCGACGGACGCATTCCTCCAACAATGGCCACGGAAGAGGCTGTACGCGTTCCCTCCATTCGCCCTACTGGCACGGACACTGGTCCATCTCAGCCGCTCACGGACGACATTGGTGTTAATCACACCTTTTTGGACGTCGCAGCCATGGTTCCCGTCCCTCATGGAGATGTCTATCGACTTCCCCAGACTGCTACCAGCGGACCCTCATCTATTGACGGACCCGGAGGGGAACTCACACCCTTTGGCGTTACACGAACATCTCAGAATGCTAGCATGGCTGCTTTCCGGGGATTCCCAAGCATATCAGAGGTTCCACGGACAACGTTGGAGCTACTGGCAGGGGCCTGGGCGCCGGGTACTCGGAGATCCTACAGTCGAGCATGGGACATCTGGAATGGTTGGTGTATGGAACAATCAGTGGATCCCGTTTGTGCCCCTCTGAACAGCATCCTGCGATTCTTGACAACCTTGTTCGATCAAGGTTTGGCCTATCGCACTATCAACGGCTACCGGTCGGCGATCTCAGCAGGACATCAGGGCCTGGACGGTGCACCGATAGGGAGACACGCGATGGTCTGCAGACTCCTCAGAGGTGTTCGTTTCGCAAGACCACCACGACCTAGATATACATCAACGTGGGATGTAAATTTGGTCTTGAATCTCCTCGACCAGTGGCCACGAAATTCAGATCTCCCACTGAAACAGTTATCAGCAAAATTGGCAATGCTTTTCTGCTTGATATCGTGCAAAAGAGTCTCCGAGGTGCGAGCTTTGGATGTGGACGCACGTTCATTCACTCCGTCAGGGGTGACATTTCACATTTCCAGACGTACAAAAACGACAATGACAACAGTATCCTATCCAACATTTCCACATAATGCAAACTTATGCCCGGTACTTTGCCTCAAGGAATATGAAGAGAGAACGCGGGCATTACGAGATCCTACTAAACATGAATTATTCATTTCCACCAAACATCCACATCACCCAGTATCGACAGTTACGATAGCTAGATGGGTAAAATGGATAATGGCCTCCGCTAACATTGATACCTCGATATACAAAGCACACTCCACGAGAGGGGCAATGGCGACCAAGGCTTTTACGCTAGGTTGTAGACTGGAAGACCTTTTACGTACTGCGGACTGGTCACGGGAGTCCACCTTTAAGGAATATTATTTTCGACCTCCAGAACATGTCACGTCATTAGTCGTTGCTCAGCTTTAAACTAGCACAATATGAGCCTCCGTGTCCTTTAATAAAATTACCAGATTTTACTAATTTCATGACGTAAAGTCATGATTTTATAAAGGACACGGAGGCGAGTATTGGCCCACCCAGGAAGATCGCGACGATGGCATGGTGAGTATCGTGAGGTTGGTATTAAATATTATGATCTTCCAGACTCCCACCCAGTAAGTCGACATGATATGGTTTCTTATGGTTGCTGGACACGTTTGTTTTAAAAAAAATTTCAAGCAGGTGAATGTATGACAGTCTAGGATAAGTATGTAGATCTGTAAGTATTAGCTGTAAATAAAGCAAGGTACTAGTGTGTATAACATACAGTTACTAGATCACACGTTACCATATCTCTCTCTCTCCCTTTTTCAGCTTGACGTCTCCACGCCACTGAAATGGAGGATAAAATTTTCAGCTTCGTTTGAGTTTCTGTTCAACGTTTCGTTATGGAAGTGACAGCGACATGCCGGTTAGAAGTTCAGGCATTTTGCACAGTTTTTTATACTTCAACTTCGGCAGGATCAAAGAAAGAGGGAGAGGAAAGGTCACATGGGTGGATATTGATGGATGGACTGTTCCTATTGGTTGGAGCATCAAGCTATGTTAACCCTTGAGTACTCAGTTTGACTTCGTTTATGGTTATGCATTTCTTTTTCTTTGCTGCTGAGGTACAATAAAGAAAGAGAAAGCACAATACTCGCCTCCGTGTCCTTTATAAAATCATGACTTTACGTCATGAAATTAGTAAAATCTGGTAATTATCTATTCCAAATCTGCAGGATGACAACCGGCCCATAGTTGTGTAGTCCCAAACTAAGTGACACATGCAGCTTCAAAAAATGTGCTCTAGTCTTGCTCCCAGGTGCCATGAGGTCTCCAAAAAGAAGCAGCCGCCATCCTGGGAGGCTATGTAAAAGGGATCCACATGACTTTGGGTCCAAGCCTGGCTCCAAACCTCCACAGACTCAATCCACTGTTTTTCTGCTCCAGAAATATATGCAACAGCGGGACATAGAGAGTTTCCAATGAACAGGAAGTTATGCTTTTTTTTAAAATGAATACTTGTTTTGCTTCAGCTAATAAGCAGCAGTGGCACTTACCATCTCCCACTGCCCACTCCAGAAGTCAGAGGTGTCCTGTTGTGTATTTTTTTATGAGTACATACATGTATAGTGTTTATGCCCTAAGAGCTGTAAGCTTGATTGAAGTCTTTGTTCAAGATGTTTTAAGTTTGAACATCTATATAATTTGATTTATTGAAGCATATCACAGTTCTAGATCTAGTAGCATAAAAACATCCCTCTGGAATATGGTAGGGATTTCCTGTAGTAAAAGAACTGTGTAGAGACTGGTTTCAAGTACTTATGAATAGTCTATCTTTATCCCCAGCTGGCTAGCTTTGATGAATCCTTTACATTTCCAACATTGTGTTGGGTGAATGCTTTTTTTTCCGCTAAAGAGAGACATGTTTAGAATATAACATTGCATTACAGTAGCTCAGTTAATGTTGCTAATATAGTTTAACAGATTATTATTATTATTATTTTTAGGATATTAGATCCCTGAGTACTGATTGATAGAATGGTCAATGGTAAATGGTGAGGCTCCGTTGCACTTTACCATTTACCAGTTGCGTTTACAGAATGTATGGAGATGGAAATTGATCAGAAAGACTAAATAAAAGGGAAATGAAAAAAAAAAGCCTCTAGATACCTGGAAATAGAAAAATGAATGAATGACTAGTGAAGCTCCCAAAGTAAAAATATAGGAAACGACATTCTCCCACTGAAAGGAGGGATTCCAAAACTCATATACAGAGTCCTTTTAGAAACAGAAATTCAAAACACATGTTCTGTTCCCATCAGTATGTACCTGATTTGAGTCAGCAACATGTGGATTACTTTCCCCGAGAAACTGTACTGTTTAATTTTGAAGTTGCTAAGACTATAGCTATATTTAGATTGAGAAAAAAAAAGGAAGGAAGAGATGGCGTTTAGAGATCTGGGAGATGAAACTAAGAACCTTCCAAACGTATTGAAAAAAGTAACATCAAACAGTAGTTGGCTCAAAAACAATAGTATAATCCAGTTCTCTTTATTCTGACGAGTGAGTGACAGGAGAGAGAAGAAGAACCTTCTAACAATCGATTCTCCTTTTCTGCTTCACAGCAACAGGAATGCAGGGCCAGAGTGACATATGTTAGTTTATTTAAATGGAGAACACAGGAGGGTGTGTTACATTATAAAACCTTTGAACCTGGTGTGAGGGTGCGTTGGAGAAGTTATTTTCTTTCACCCAATGGTTACATGGTAAAAATGACTATATATTTTAAGTTTTCGATATTTATTCGTTTACATTCATCATTATTTAAAGAACAATGATCTCATTTTCGTTTTTTGGCTTAGCGTGATATTAGATTTTTGACAGGTTTGCTTTAAAACAATGTTAATCTCACGAAGAAATACAAATAAGTGGGAATATGATGCTACAATCCGTCTGAGGAGAAAATCTTCCCAGAATTCCTGCTGTCTAGCGAGATCGCTGCGAAGAGAGCCCTTTGTCCTATCATTACTGAAATAGAACCCTCAAAACAACAGGCTTGGATATAGATTGAGAACATCTAGTTTAAAGTATAGTCTTGATCTCAAATCCTAACTGTTTCATGCATCAACACAATAGTAGGGAGTTAGCTCAAACACATAACTTTCATATTTTGTTTTTCTTTTTCTTTTTTTTTTCGTCTTTAAATCTTCATTTCTCCAGTTCTGTATCTGGTTGTAAGCTGTACTTCTTTTAAAGTAAAAGCAATACATGGAAATACAGTATTGTAGGACATTGCATTTTAGTGAAAACAGGGGGATATTTATATCTCTCTTTTTTTAAAGCAGTCTCACTTAATAGGAACCTGACTTCTTTAGGCATGCCAGCACTAATTCTGTCAGAATAAGGAACCCATAAAACTTCAAAGTACAAAACACATACTTAACTCATTCTGTTTGCTGGTATCCCTTTTTTCCACTTTGAATGCAATTTTCTGCAAAAAAAAAAGTCTATATTTTTTATACTCTTTCACCTGTAACCATAACAAGTAAACTTTAACATACCCTAGAATGGGCCGTAGGCTGTTGTAATGGATTCTTGACATCTGATAATTATACCCAGTTTTGTCGTAAGCATTAGTGTATTTGTTAACGGTTACCCCTCTACCACAGCCATTAATTATATTGCATGTGATCATCAGAATGCTGTCATTAAGTAAACGTGAATGCAAAATTTTATGTCAGAAAATGTCAATGCATACAATGTGTCATACAAATAAATCTGTGAAGTACAGGTATGCTTTTTGTTGTTGTTATATTTTGTAAGAAAATACCATATATGCATTAAAACCGAATCTGAGTGGCAGTATATAATATAGTAAGATATATATATATATATATATATATATATATACTAAAAATTATTTAAACAAATCACTTAAAAGCATGTGTCATGTTTGAATTTTTCATACAGATAGCATCTTTGAAAAAAGTACCTATGTTTTAGTTGGAAATTCATTGACATTGCATTGCATTACAAATTACATAGTTACATAGTTACGTAGCTGAAAAGAGGTATGCATCCATCAAGTTCAGCCTTCCTCACATATGTTTTTGCTGTTGATCCAAAAGAAGGCAAAAAACCCAGTCTGAAGCACATCCAATTTTGCAACAAACTAGGAAAAAATCCGTCCTGACCCCAGAATGGCAGTCAGATATCTCCTTGGATCAAGCAGCTATTACCCCACTAATTAGAAATGATATCCCTGTATATTATCTTTGTAACGGATCGACGGGCACCCTGACTGGGTACCTCCGTTGAAGGATGCTCCTAGCGCTTCCTGAGGACTCTACGCACTGCAGCAGACACCATAAACACCGTAGACTCCTCCAGAGAGCATGGCAGGAACAAGCTCTTACAAGAGCTTAGTAGTGATTTAGCAAGGGAGTATGACAAGCATAGAAATCCCTTGTAGCAGATTCCCCCAATAAGAGACGGCACTCCAAATTGAGGGTGAAGTAGAACTGAGGTTTAATAACACACACTCTGCTTTTATGCAATTCTCCCATGCAAGGGAGACGCACACAGACAATTATGGATTACCCAATCACACACTGGTTACATCCCACACATCTCCTCCCCTTAGCCTGAGAGGTAACACAATTAGCCGTACAGTTTAAAACGTACTTTTTACCCAACTTTCATAACTCCAAAACTATACATCCAATATTAATAAATGTCACATATTATTAATCAGCACATTTTAAATACAAACATACCCCAAAATCATTTGAATCCATTCAGCCGTTTGGGAGATAGGGATAAGTCACTTTTGACTGACCGCAAGCACATTTTCATGCCCAAAAGAGTTGGGCTATGCGCTCGGTCAATTTCACACAGAAAAATGTCTAAGTCTCATTTGAATGCACGAACGGGGCCGTTCGTGTAAATAGCTCCGTCTAACAGTGCGTTCAAATTGTTGAACGCACTTTGATTCCAGCCGAAGCGTCGAAGTTCATGAGAAGGTAAGGGTCAGCGGTGTTCGGGCAAATGTGTAGCCGATTTTCGTTCCATAGATTCAGTGGCACACACCGCTGACCGCGTTCGACCAAATTAAAATGGCCGCTGCCACGTGTTCGGTTTTCGAATGGCGGCCACTTCGACTACTTCGGCACTTCGACTGCATCCGCAGTGCCAGTTTAAAAGTACAAATCCTTTCTCTGGGAGTTAAAGGGCAAGCAGCAGCACAACACAAATCCATTATGCCCAAATCATGCCTTCAAAGGGCAATACATCCCAGGGGCCATAGTCACATGGCAGGAGGCTGGCGATCAGTCTTCTCCAATGCCCAGTGGTGAGGTCGGTTTCGCCACAATCTTTTTGCAAGTATTTATCCAATTGGTCTTTAAATGTCTGTACAAAATATGATAAAACCACCTCTTCAGGCAGATAATTCCACGTCCTTATTGTTCTTGCTGTAGAAAACCCTTTCCTTTGCATTAGATTAAATTTCCTTTCTTCCAGTTTAAATGCATGGCCTTGTGTTCTATGTATAGTTATGTTTATGAATAGATTTCCAGACAATGGTTTGTACTGTCCCCAGAATACATTTGTATAATGTTATCATACCCCTCTGAGGCGCCGTTTTTCCAAACTAAAGAGATTTAAATTTTTTATGTACGTGAGAAAAGCGGTTTTATGTTTACCTTTGAACAAAGGCAACATGGGAATATACATGCAAATGTATATGCAATCCATCTATTAGATGGATAGATAGATGGATAGATAGATGGATACATGGATAGATAGATTGATAGATACATGGATGGATAGATACATGGATGGATAGATAGATACATGGATGGATAGATAGATACATGGGTGGATAGATAGATAGATACATGGGTGGGTGGATAGATAGATAGATAGATAGATAGATAGATAGATACATGGGTGGATAGATAGATAGATGGGTGGATAGATAGATATATACATGGGTGGATAAATAGATACATGGGTGCATAGATAGATAGATAGATATATAGATAGCTAAATACATGGGTGGATAGATAGATACATGGGTGGATAGATAGATACATGGGTGGATAGATAGATAGATAGATAGATAGATACATGGGTGGATAGATAGATACATAAGTGGATGGATAGATAGATACATGGGTGGATAGATAGATAGATACATGAGTGGATAGATAGATACATGGGTGGATAGATAGATAGATAGATAGATAAATGGGTGGATAAATAGATAGATATATACATGGGTGGATAGATAGATAGATAGATACATGGGTGGATAGATAGATAGATACATGGGTGGATAGATAGATAGATAGATAGATAGATACATGGGTGGATAGATAGATAGATAGATAGATAGATACATGAGTGGATAGATAGATACATGGGTGGATAGATAGATAGATAGATACATGAGTGGATCGATAGATACATGGGTGGATAGATAGATAGATACATGGGTGGATATATAGATACATGGGTGGATAGATAGATAGATAGATACATGAGTGGATATATAGATACATGAGTGGATAGATAGATAGATAGATAGATAGATAGATAGATAGATAGATACATAAGTGGATAGATAGATAGATAGATAGATAGATAGATACATGGGTGGATAAATAGATAGATACATGGGTGGATACATAGATACATGGGTGGATAGATAGATAGATACATGAGTGGATCGATAGATACATGGGTGGATAGATAGATAGATACATGGGTGGATATATAGATACATGGGTGGATAGATAGATAGATAGATAGATAGATACATGAGTGGATATATAGATACATGAGTGGATAGATAGATAGATAGATAGATAGATAGATACATAAGTGGATAGATAGATAGATAGATAGATAGATAGATAGATAGATAGATACATGGGTGGATAAATAGATAGATACATGGGTGGATACATAGATACATGGGTGGATAGATAGATAGATAGATAGATAGATACATGGGTGGATAGATAGATAGATAGATAGATAGATAGATAGATAGATACATGAGTGGATAGATAGATACATGGGTGGATAGATAGATACATGGGTGGATAGATAGGTAGATAGATGGGTGGATAGATAGATAGGTAGATACATACATACATGGGTGGATAGATAGATAGGTAGATACATGGGTGGATAGGTAGATAGGTAGATACATGGGTGGATAGATAGATAGGTAGATAAAAAGAGAAAGAGAGATACTTTAGTCTTATTTTTTTCTAAGAAAACATATTTACTTTATTGTAAAACAAACAGAAAGCCAAACATGCCGTAAAGGTAAACTTCAGCGAACACGTTATACTACTACATTAAAAAGAAAAATTTTGCGATGTTGTTAATCAGTCTGACCACCATTGTGCCAACAGATTCCCATACGCAAAGGAAAGACGGGGATTGGAATGTTCTGGCACAGAAAATGAATGTTTATTGTTTGTGTTCACTACAAAGGAGTTTCAGCAATTCCATTATAGTTCATTATTACATACAGAGGCTTAAACGCCTGTGGTATCCTAGTAGATGAAAATGGTGTGTGTGTCGTCAGGCATTATTATTATTATTAAATAATGGGATAAAATCATTTCTTGTTCTACTGCTTAGTATTTGTTTTCTCATCTTTGATTTTTATGTTTATATTAGTTCTGTGACTTACTAAGTTGTCTAAAAAAGTGTTTACATCATGTAAAATCAAAATATGATATGTGAATTGAAAAAACAACAGTCAATGGGAAATGAAAAAGGAACAGGAAATAAAAAACTTTCCCACTTGATCTCTTGCATTTTTCCCAGAATCCTCTGGGTTTGCAATGGCTGAAAATGAAAAGAACTCTATTGCTTGGTGCGTGCACAATTTTTTTTCCAACTTTTTACAAGGAGACATTGTTTTTTTTCAATATCAGGAAGTCTCTTGATGCCCTTTAGTTGATTTTTGTTTCGCTTGTTATCGACGCAACTTATATTTTTTCCTGTTTTGAAAAAAAATATAAGATTTTCCCAAGCAGATTAAAGCAGCCTTTGGATTGTTTGTTGATGCAGTTCTGTGTTATGTTGCACTGTTTATTTTTGCATACAGGGAAAAAAACATGTTGGAACTTGGGGGGTGGGAGGGGGGGGGGAAGTTATATATATATATGTGTGTGTGTGTGTGTTTGTGTTTTCAATCTATCTTCTTTTTAAATTTATTTAATTTTTTATGATTCAATATTTCAAATATTTCACAATAATTTAGAGCTCTACTTGAAGGTGTCTTGCCGCAATGATTCATCTTTTGTTGCCTCAAAACTATTTTAATATAATAATCATTTAATTAAGTTATGAAGGAAATAGATTTTTTTAAATGAAGTTAAAAAAAATGGGAAATCGCTTTTGTATGTGTCAGAATTTTTCTGCCAATTTCATGCACTTTAGATCGGATAGTGTTTGCTAACCAACAGTTACTCTCTGCAGTCTAAACTTCTTCACTCCCTGCACAGAAGCATGGAAGACCACAGAAACAGTCGGTTTCCAAACATTGTCTGACCTAAGGTACATAAGAATAATAATATTAACAATTTGCTATTTTTATAATGCTTTTCTCCCTGAGAGAATCAAAGCACTTTACAAATATACAAACAGAAACGTTAGGAGTTTCTGATGGTCATATGAGCAGACTGAATGCCTGATGGAGGAGGTGGGTCTTTAGCTTTTTTTAAAGAAGTCTGTAAAGACGGAGCCACTCTGATTGCGCACGGTAAAGAGTTCTAGAAGATAGGGGCAGCGTGGCTGAATGCCCTGGAACCTGAATTTGTCTTTGTTCTGGGCACTGACAGGAGGTATTTGCTGTCTGACCGAAGTGAACGAGATGGAAAATAGGGTGTCAGGAGCTCTTTCAGGAACTGTGGACCTTGATTGTTAAGACTTTTAAAGGTCAGCAGGCCAATTTTAAATTTATGTTTAACATTTAATTGGAAGCCAATGGAGGGAGTGGAGAACAGTTGTTATGTGGGATGAACGAGTTTGTTTGATCGTCCGGTGGAATCAAGTGTTGTAACCTGGCTATGTTTCTCAGCTGAAAGAAGAAAGAAAGAAGCCATATTACATGTATATGGCTGAAAGATATTGTCATGGTAGAGATGAGTTTTTCTCTCCTTTTTTTTTAATTTTTTTAAAAGTACATTTTATTTAAAAATATTTTTGAGGTGATAGTTGTCCTTTAATATTCACAATCTCATAATATCTGTAAGGATGATTAACAGTCCTGTGTCTAAATATCATTGCCAAAACCAGAGGCACTAAATGTAGAAGTGCTTTAAAAAACAAACAAAAAAACAAACAAACCAGTTTTTCTTTTTTTTAACTTTCTAATGCTTTGGAGCTAAAGTTGAATTAAATCTGTCCTTTCTCATAATCCTTCTTGAGATGGCACATAAGTCATCTGTAATGACATGTCATTTGCTGTGATCACAATTCTTTATCTTTGTGCTGATGATATTATGCCAGCTGCCATCAGAAATATTAATGACGAAAAATACGTGACCGGCTAAAATAATGTTGTGAAGGGAGAGACGTGTGACAACTTTATAAACGTAGGCTACATAATTTATACTTACATGATGTCAGCTATCCTTTGCCATTCTGAGTCATTCTTTAAATGGCTTATGCTGTAAGTAGGTTTGGTTTGCTTGGCCTGTGTGGCAATTTGCCAAAGCTCATTAGCCAGTGGTGGCTGCAGTTAACAGGACGCCTGGATTTTTCCAGCTCCCAAGATATTCAGCACAATTAAGATATTGCTCCAGATGGTGATTAGAGATGCTTCAATTAACCAATTTGGCAATTTTTAAGAAGATAAATACTACTAAAAATCATCATAAAAATAAAAATGTAAGGCTGTAAAATAGAAAAAAAGTATGCACGGATGTTTGGACAGATATTCCTAGCTTATTAATGAAGTTGATTGTTAAATTAACACATTTCCCTTACTGTGGACTCTGTGTAACAAACTGGTATTTAAAATTTCAGATTAAAAAGCAAGTTATATTTATGCGGTTCATGGTGCTGTAGTATCTATCCAAAACCAATGAGGAATACTCATGAGTATGTCTAAAGCAGAGTAACAAGCTGTAGCTGCTGTAAGATGAAATACATTTTCTGGGTGTAACTGAGAGGATTGCTTTCTGTAATTTAGCACCTGGAAACCAAAGTTTTTCAGTTGCACTGTCACCGTCTGGGGACTTTACAGAATTTACAAAGACCCCTGACACTGACATCGTCACTGGGTGTCCAGGTGACTGGAGGGTGGGGGGCAGGGAAAGGCAAGTTCTATTTACCTGAATCTGTCCCTCGTGGGTGCCGTCATCTTTCTCATGCAGGTCCTCTTCAGTATGAGCAAAAGTACGCCTCTGGCACATTTCTACCTTGGGGGGATAAATGGCTTGGAAAAAGGTACGTTTCTTTCCAATCCAGTTTTGTGAATGGGAAGTCACTGATTGGTTGAGACTATCAGTTGACCTCACTTAGACAATCAGCAGTGTATCTACCCCGCGGCACTCTGCATTTTTAGGGAAGCTGATACCGGCGCTGGAGGCAACTTTGGAGTTTAACCAAAGAGTTTGCTTCACTGCATTTTATCCTCGCATGTGCACGGAAACTTCATGGTGACCAGATTTTCCAATAATCTTCTTGTACATAAGCATAGAGGTTACATAGGAATGTAACGAGCATTGTGTGAGAAAATGCCTTTAATGAGGTTTTAAAGGTCGATGGTTGACATCAATGGGTTTGGCATGCCACCCATTATGTTGATAGTATATATCTGCTCTCTTTTAATAGTGTTATTGAGAAAACGCAGGCCATGCGTGTGCCCTGATTATGGCTATTAAACTAAAAGTTTTTGACCCATTGCCACTGGTGGATGCACATGTGGCCTGGATCCAATGTGCTGGACCAGAAAAAATGTTAAGTATTTGATCTTATTTGTATTAGCCAGGGGAGTGGTCTTCTGACCAAGTTACTATTGGGATAGGGAGCTTGGACTTTTTAACCTGGTCGATAATATTTTACCACCAGTCAGGGATTTTCAAGGTGTGTATTTGTTAAACATATAACTCGGCTTCATGTTCCAATTATTTGTTTATAACTTTGCTTTGGTGACACAGAAAAAAATGTCAATGGGACTATAAAACTGACCCTGCAGTGTTGATAATAGATTCAGCCGGATAAAAACATTTGTTGATTTTACACTCTCCAACAATTAGAGGACAAGGGTGGGCACATGATGTACGTTCTTTGCCAGGTAGATGTAACCAGATACAAGAAGAAGTAAATCAGCAGGCGTCCCTCCATTCTTCCCGTCCATGAAAGACATACAAGCAGTCTTTAGAAGGTGTAAGCTACATGGCTAGTTTCTGCAAAGATGAATGGCCCTTTGAAAATTTCATTTATTTCCAGGTCTTTACTTTTTTTTTTTTTTTTACTGCTGACCCAGAGATTGTGACATGTAAATCAGGCCAGCATACAGTAGTTCATATTAACCCACATAGCGTCAAACGTGTTCCAGCCCTGTTTACAGAAGATTTGTTCTAGATATTGTTTACTGAAAGCAGAACGGAGACCAGAGCCATGAGAATGTTTTATTTCAGGAAATGCATTACCTCACTCCCTGCTTTTCATTTACAGTTGTACAATTCAGCAACCTACAGCCTTCTGAAATAAGCCATTTCCATCTATTTAGGAGTTAATTACCTAAAAAAAAAAATCAAACAATGGCACAAAAACAGCAAGGGAAAAAAAGCAGAGAATAGCTTAGGCTTGATGCTATTATACAGCAGTGTAGAACTAAGCAAAAATACGTTTTACATTTTTATTTAATAAATCAGTCTTTAGAACCATTCAATGAAAGGTCTTCTTTGCAATAAAATGTGCATCCTCTTATCTTTCCTCGACAGTGCTCATGTGGATAAATGACTCATGACTGGCTGGACTGGAGACATAAACGCAGGTTATTGAAGATGTTATTGCCATTATTTCAGTTTTCTAGGTATGGAAACACGAGAACCTGAACATTAAATAAAATAAATGCATAGATCTCTAACCATAGCAAATTGTTACCTTATCTAAACTATAGACAGATCTTAGTGTCCATAGAAAAAGTAGGTTTTACTAAATGTAAGCTCACCTGTCCACACCATTGCAAACCTTGCAGGGGAGTCCTTTTCTAGAATAAAAGCATATGCAAGATCAGTGGAAGTTTCTGCCGATATTACAATCTGGTTTCAAAATCTATGCATTTATGAAATACCATGTTTATTTAGCTCAGGCAGTTCCATGTAGACCTGCTACTATTATTTAAACAGGTCAAACCATTTAGGAATCTTTAAATGGCTACATTTTTATGCATTCACCATGGTCCATTCATGTCTCGAATGGATGGAGCATTTGTTGCTGGAATATATCTTTTTTATGTCTCATTATAACCTGTACATTACTTCATGTAACATTTTCACCAATATATTTTCATTATTTTTTAAAATAACATTATGACCATTTAAAGACTCGTGCTACCTTATAAGAGCTTATGCCAGGATATGATGTCCTGCCATTTTAGATAAGGTAGCTTTACCAAGAGTTGCTGTTGCTCAGTGAGTGGAATATTCTATTTTGGGTAGGATCCTAAATGGTCAAATTATTAGAGTTATATAACTACCTCTGATGATTTAGAATATAATAGCACCACTTCCTCCGGACACAACCACACAAGAGAATATGGCTTCCTCAATGACCATATTATTAGAGTGATATAAATGTTTGTGGTCCCTGAAGGGATAATGACATCATTTTCTCCAAGCACTATCATTCTAGAGTAAAATGGGAGAAGCCTGCACAAGCCAGTAAGAGACCATTGCCAGTGGAGTTTCAGTATGGTATGATTATGGGAGTTGTTTATAAATTCTTGTCAGGAAGAACTCATACTCAAAAAAACACCTCATAATTTGTGATGCCATCCTAAGGCTAATGAAAGTGTACTCAGTGGTAAGATTCACAATGCATATATTTTAAGATATTTCAGATACAGCCTCCAACAACTCACTCAATGGGATACTAAGTGGAGTCTGACCTGCTGGGCAAGCGATGCATATCCCCATGACAACTGTCGTAAAAACATTTTTGTCACTAACATGCGGCAAGAAGCCCTCAGATGGGGTGTGTGTCCCATTTTCCTCTATATTTTTCACTGTAGGTGATTCTGGGTGTTCATGTAGAGAGGATTCATCACACCCTGGCATAAAACCGGAACACCTGCACAGCATATGTAAAACGAGACTCACATATGGGCAAGGAATGAACTCCACTGAATCCCAGATTTAGGTGTCTGGGTAAGGCTGGGGAACCCTACAATGTGACACTGATCATGTCTCTGATATCATGCAATGTTTCCTTTTGCACAACATGGCTATCAAGACATGCTATTTGGAGGACATACAGCCAGAGGTGGTCCCTTTACTAGATGGGTGGGAGAAGTTAAATGTTTTAGCAGACACAGGGCTGACCCATGCAGCAATATTTTAAGTGTACTGGAGATAATCGGTAAAACACATTAGGCCCCATTGCTTCCTGTAGAACATCTGCTAAGAAGCAACTGTCTGGGTGCCCACATGACAAAGTTATTGTTGCTATTTTTATTTGATCTTTAAGGCCTGCACTTTATTTAAGAGGAGATTATAGCCGCTGTTCTAGAATTAGATCATGCAGCCCACAACATTTTAGAACATGTGATTCCAGTTTTTCCATAATGGACCTGTGAATAAATCAGACTATAAAAAAAAAATAATTAAATAAATGTTAGCAGAGCGTACTTAAAAAAAAAAGTGTTTTAATAGAAGACACTGAAGAAGGACTTGGGAGGCTCTTTGGAAACCAAAATGCCATTGGCTACTGGCTCCTAGATTTTCCACTTCTTTAGTCTTGACATGAATGTAATTCCTTTGACAAACAATATAGCAAAAAAACAATGAACCAACCACCATCCCCAGCAACCAGACAATCACAGATAACAAATAATTTGTTAAGAAAAGGCATAGGCAGAATAGGAGATAGTAATAAATGTCTGAAAGCCCCAAGTACCACCCATTGCTGTAAGTGCTGTAAATGTAAGTGAATTAAAAGTGAATTTCACATTTTAGGCCATTCTAATGAAATTAGCAAAAATATTCTTAAATCATATTTTTTTTATTTTGGCTGTATTGGTCTAAAATTTACTTTGGACTCCTGACAATAATATTGTAATGAGTGTCTATCCTAGATCAAATCCGTTCTGTAAAGATAACACAATGTCAGTCGGGCTATACCGTTCGTATGAACCTGTGTGCTTCAGAAGAAGAAAGCAACACTGCTCCAACCACCCAAAAATATAAATAAATAAAAAGAGAAATCATCTTGCTCTAATTTTGTCTGGAAGGTTAAAACATTCCTTCTTCAAACAAAGGGATATCTAATGTGTTCCTCGGTCAAAGTTACGTAAACTGTATGTGCTTATTACAACTATATATGCATTCAACCTCTCTGAAAGAATTCACAGAGCCTGTTCAAATTGATACCCAGATAGTTGTTTTTTGTTTTTTTTAGGATTTCCATTAATAGTATCTCAAACCTGTATATAGCAATCATCATAGACTTCTATTTCTGGAGAAAATAGGACTATTTGTGAAATCATGTTCTTGTGGCTTTAATTTACTTTATTTTCTTATTTGTTTTTTTCTGCCCTTCTTTTGAATTTTTTTTTCAGATGTGGGTGTTAAAAATACCATGAGTTGTTGTAGTTTTTTTTTATATATATATATATATATATACCATCAGTTTACGTAAACTATAAAAGATATACTAAAAGATGTGCTTTGAAGGTCGAACTTGATAAACCTAGATTACAATGTAACTATAACCTCAATCTAAAATTTTGGGATACGTTTTCACATGACTTAATATTTAAAAAAAACACTGAAACCTGGATCTTCAATTTTGTTTTTCTATCCAACATGACTATAGCATGGATTATTTTTTAAATACATTTTAATAAAATAAATCTGCTGAAGAGTATATTCACCTAATGTTAATTTTGATGGGGAAAACCCTTTTTGCATTAAATTCAGATTTTTAGTAAATATAGATGTAAATTGCAAAATGTTTACCTAAATTTCAGTATTTGATTTTTCACTTTCTGTCATTTGGCATTTATGGAATAATACTAGAGTTGGGAAGAAGATATATATAACTCAGTGTTGTAAGACATTTATTTGAACTATACCTACACTGATCAACTACAACTTTAAAACCACCTGCCTAATATTGTGCATATTCCCCTGCCAAAACAGCTCTGATGCATCGAGCCATAGACTCCAAAAGACCACTGAATGTGTTCTGTGGTATCTGGAATCAAGATATTAGCAGCAGATCCATTAAGTCCTGCAAGTTGGGAGATGGGGCCTCCATGGATCAGATTTGTTGTTCCAGTGCATTCAACAGATGCTCATTAGGATTGAGATCTGGGGAATGTGGAGGCCAATGCAACACTTTGAACTCTTTGTCAGGGTCCTCAAACGATTCCTGAACATTTTTTGCAGGGTGCATTATCCTGCTGAAATAGACCAATACCATCTGGGAACAGCTTGCCATTAAGTGGTGTACATGGTCTGCAACAATCTCTAGGTAGGTGGTTTGTGTCAAAGTAACACCTACATGATTGTCAGGACACAAGGTTTCCCAGCAGAACATTGCCCAGAGCTTAACACTGCGTCCACTAGCCTGCCTTCTTCCCTTAATGCATCTTGCTGCCCTCTCTTCCTCAGGTAAACGATGCACATGCACCCGGCAATCCACCTGATCTAATAGAAAGCATGATTCATTAGAGCAGGCAACATCTTCAATTGCTCCATGGTCCTGTTCTGATGCTCACGTCCCCATTGAAGGCACTTTCGGCGTAGAATAGGGGTTATCATATGCACTCTGACCAGTCTGTGGCTATGCAGCGAACTGTGATGCACTGTGTGTTCTGAAACCTTTCTATCATGGCCAGCATTAGGTTTTTCAGCAATTTGAGTTACAGTAGCTCTTGTGTCTGATCGAACCTAGCCTTCACTCCCCATGTGCATCAATGTACCCATGATTCTGGCACCAGTTAATGCACCACCCTTCCTTGCACCACTTTTGGTAGGTACTAAGCAATGCATACCGCGAACACCCCACAAGATTTGCCGTTTTGGATATGCTCTGACCCAGTTGTGTAGACATCACTGAGTCAATGTCATCTTTTCGCTTGCCCATTTTTCCTGTTTCTAACACATGAAATTCAAGAACTGACTGTTCACTTGCTGTCTGATCTATTCCACTCCTTGACAGGTGCCACTGTAATTATAATATCAATTTTATTCACTTCACCTGCTAGTGGATTTTATGTTGTGGCTGATCAGTGCATAATGGTATGCTCAAGCTTAAACTGTGAGATTTCTCCTCCAAACTGATATTGTTCCCTGAAAATGCACATCTTCAGTGAAATGTATCTGATCACTCAATAAAACTATATAGTGGCCACTCAATGTTAGGACTATAACATCACTGTTATAGGCATGTGCAACACTCTAAATTAGGAAGTGTAATCTGTAAAACTATTTCTATTTCCTAGTGGCAAGACCACTGAGTTTGGAGTCTCAGTGGAAACCAACCACCCAGCAGATCCCTAGACCTTACTTGGTCTTTAAATATTAAAGGACATTTATCAATCTGTGGTAAAAAAAGTGGTAAAAATATGAGGGGAGCAGTCACCAATGGAAGTTGCTGTTTTTTTTATATGGTAACTGCTCCATTTTGATTACTTTTTAGAAAAGAACACTTTGTTAAATCTCCTATGTTGAATACACTGTTTCACGACTATAATAGAATGGCTATTTTTAGTAGCTGAAGCAGAGGGAGCTCAGGGTTACTTTCAGAGTGCATGTTATCTCTGGTCATCAATGTAAATGCAGCTGCCTCATTACGAGACTATATCAACCAGGGATCTCAGAGGTAATGTCTCTTCCTTTTCACCTGGACATAAAATTGGAGATATTGCAATCAAAACCCTTTTCCATACACTAGCTGTTCTGTTTTGTAGCTGCCGAGTAAAGGACTTGCGATGCCAGCTTAGCTAAGCTGTTTTTTTATTTGTTTGTTCATGGCATAATAAATGCATGTTTTATGTTACAACAAATATGTTTCCGGTCTCCACCTCACCGGCAATTTCTTAAAGGTCTCTATATAGACTACATCATACCTAGGATCAGTAACTCTTTTGGTATATGTCCCCTCTCGTCTCTAAAGTGTTAGCTTTAGAAAGGAGGCCTCTATATACCAGCTGTCTCTGTTGTAATTTCAGTTATTTTATTTTTTCTGGTGTATGCAGTCTTGTGGAGTTTTAAAAATAAATTCTAATTTATGATGATTTAATATTTTTAAGTCAATTTATCTGTATCACTTATTAAACGTTCCAATATGAACTTCCTCTAGAGTTTGTCCATGACAATCTTTACCTGAATCCAAACAAGACAGCACACAAGGTTGGACCACTCTTGCATGCTTTCACTTTTTTCACTGTCTGTGTCTCGTAGACATCTAGTTGAAAAACTTTTTTAAGTCTGTCACTTTGATGTTTTTCATGTTGTTACAAAAAAAAAGACAAGACCGTCTCACGGACACATTTACTAGATTTGATCCAAAAAGGGAAAAATTGCTTCCAGACATCAACAATGACAATGGGATTTTTTCACATCTACGAATAAGAGCTTAAAACAGCCAAAAATACAAAAAAATTTAAGTTTTCCTTGTACCCTATTTATCTTTTTTTTTATACTGCATTACTATCTAAGTGCATTTTATTTTTTTGATGATTAACTGCTGTATTTTATAAAACAAGCTTCTACATATAAATTATCAAGTATTGTGATCTGCCAAAGTTAATACGGGTCTTCTGAGTTAAGAAAGAACATGCATTGCGGTTTGCAGGAAATGCAGAATGTACCTACCTTGGTGAGTCTTGTCTTCGCTGTATATGTTCGTTGATTCTGGTATATGGCGTGAGTGGTGAAGTTGCACTTTGGTTGCCAATAGAGTGTACAATCTGCAGTCTGTTCTCAGATGACTTCTGACTTTGTTTGGTGGTAGGCGAATGAGCATGTTCAAGCAATGATGGATCTGAAGACATCTCCCTAGTATCCTCACACGATCTGCTAATCTATACAGAGGTGACCTAGCTCAGAGCAGGCCTCCTTAACCTTATTCAACCCAATTTCCCTGGTGCACCTTATACAGCTAACTGTCCAGGATACCTCATAAACCCTATCATATAATCTACCTAGACTCACCCTGCCTGCTTAGTTAGTAGAAAGCTCCTCTCCATGTGGTCAGTACTGAAGATTTATCAAAGTGTCATGTTCTGAAAAGTGGTGCAAAATTCTAAAAGTAGGACAGTCACCATGGAAATCAATAGTGTTTCGTTAATCAACCGTTCCAGTAAATCCTCACTCAGGGGCAATCAGACCTGATTCAGATTGCTGTATAAATAAGCAGCATAAACTCTCTTGTACTTTTTTCAACCTCTCAAGATAAACTGGTTCACGGCAAAAACAAGATGCAAAACAAAACCTTTGTAGAGCAGACGAAACAAAGCAAACGTTCAATAGCATTAATTCCTGACAACTAACTCAGTACTTAGAATTCACACTTTAAACGCTGGCAGTTAACAAAGATTGAGAAAGGGAATAAAGGTTATAAAATCTACTTAAAAATTATTGCAACCTTTTTGGGGGTAAATATGAGCTATAACATCAGTTTTATTTTAATTTGTTTTATAATCCCGAAGTAACTGGGACTACATTATGTAACCCAATGGTTAAAAAGACAATATCAGGAGGGCACTATTAGAAATAAAAGCTAGATTGAAAGCAAAAATAAATGTGATTCATTCAATGATACAAACAGTTATACATTTAAAATGAATACTTTAAAAGACATAGAGCATATATAGCACTTAGATAGGGGCCACTATAAACAGCTTAAACCAAATCAAAGATGAAATCAAATCTTTGTAAAACAAAGTGCAATGATTATAATAGTAACTAATCAGAGCAACAAACCAATATAAAAATTGCAAGCACCACAGATAATATTCACCATTGGAAAATCAGCAGCTTTGGGTGGATGAAGCCAGGATGCAAACCTGTTCGGACAAATATGCGAGAATATTTGTGAGAACATCGCTGGTGTGGCCGAAGTTAGGAAGAAATCCGAGCTCTTCGTGAATATCCTTGTGTCGCAAATAATGAACAGTGAATACAAGCTGAAATAAGCCCAGGGAATGCCCTAGTCCAGTGTAAACATGTACGATAAAATCATTCCGTAAGCAGTGAAGAATGGACTACCTCCTTAAAGCTGAATAAACACGGTCTACGTGGTTCATCTCAGTGCCAGACTTTATCAAGGCCCAATGGTTTTCTATGAAGTCCTCGAGGTAACCCAATAATCCAGGATATTTTCCAGATAAAAGGGATAGTAACAAAAGCAGAAATGACAGTGCTGATTGAGGATTGGGTTTGGAACCAATGGTATAACTAATTCCAGTTCAAAAGTAAAGATCTAACCATATAGACGGCCAATCACTGTTATGTTTTATTTATGTCACTAAAACACTAATGACTGAGAAAAAAAATACAAGGAAAAAATAATTTATGCTGTGTTCATCATAAATTCTGTAATTTTTTTTTTTATACAAAAATCAATTCTCTTCGAACCGAAACGAAAAAATAAATGCCTTAGCTGGTACGTTTACATTTAAAACAAGCACAGTCTTCTTCTTCTTGTTTGGTATTTCTATGATGTACACGGGTGGAATCTTTCAGTGTACTGTAAATAGAGATAAGAGTATTACTCTCATTATTTATTATTTATAAAGCGCCAGTCATTTCCCCTGAGCAGTGCATTAGAACAAAGTTAAAAAGACAACAACGATCAGTGAAGCATGATCATCACACATAATAAGTAATAAATAAAAAACAAATTTCACATTCTAGATAAAACAAAACAAGAAATAGGGTAGGGCTGCGCCAACAGAAAAATAAGATAACGTAAAATAGTCCAAAAGATTCTTACTAGAGAAAAAGTTCTTGGTGGAATGTGGATGAGTAGACTCTTCAGTGGGGGTGGATTTGTCCTAGTGTCTCAGGGTATATATATATATATAGAAGAAAAAGAGACAAGGAGAGACAATAGTACAATAAGTCTAAAATCTAAAGGGTAAAATAATAGGAGGTAGAGATATTCTACGGCCAGCTCTAGTGTGAAGGGCGTACAGCGGTATAATCCCCGCTTATGGGATATGTGAAGAGAATGCATCTGTCACCACCGCCTGGTCATCCAAAGCTCCAAGATTAAATAAAAAGAGGCGACAATAGTGCTCTCAATTAGATAAAAATGAGTAAAAGTAAATAAAATATTAATATTAATTAGCACTGATTTCCTGTTGTATTTTGTGTAATTTCATATTATAGATAGAGAGTATACAAGATCATTTTTTGTAATGGACCCTCATAACAAAAAAGAATACTCTAACAAGGTAGAAAAAGGTGTTGAAGGAATCCATACATGCAGATTGTTGCCCCCTGCAAACTTCAGGGGTCTGGAAAAGACATATAGCTGTTATGTTTATGATATGTTTATCTGGAGTTGGAGGTCTACCCCCTGAAGATGATTATGTCCTATTCTGACTACCTTGTAATTTGATGAAAGGTCCTGGCACTAACAAAGTCTTATAAAGTGGAGACTTTTTTAGAAATTGGCAAAGTTTTTGCCAACCAAGGTCTTTGCCAGGTCATAATGATGAGTGAACAAAAACATATGATCTGATATATGATCTTAGTTGGTTGAAATGTCGCTACCTTATGCTTGATGTTCCTGTTAAAGTCAGCACTTTATAAGACTTTTTGAATACTTGGATCTTTCACCCAATTACATAGCGTCACTTTGGGTTTCACCAGCCATTAGGTAAAGTGCACCAACTTCTCTCTGGTATGTTGAAGGAACAAAGAGTGCAGTCCTTGCTTTGACAGGTATGAAATATGGGCTGAATCAGAGCACAGAAAAGAAGAGTTAATTAAAGGAACACTATTACACTATAATGTTTTGTAGGTCTTCCCCATGCCCATTTATTTAAAAGGATTAAAAACCTTTTTTAACTTTCGTATTTCCTGCGCTGAGGCTCCTTTGATGCTGACTAGGACTCCTCCTGTAACGTCACAGTGATAGTGGGATCTAATGCACATGCGCGCATTGAAGCTTCCTCGTAGGAAAGTATTGAACCAATGCTTGCCCATGAAGAACATAGAAGATCATCAAGCAAGCATGAGGACATCCAAAGTTGGCTAAAGGAGTAAAACTCATATAGGAACCTGTAAGTGCCTCTAGTGGCTATCGGGAGACCGTCACAAGAGATGTAGTTAACCCTGCAATGCAATCATTGTGATTTCTCAGAAATGACAAAGTTTTACATTGCAAAATTAGACAGGGACACTGCACTCTTACCATTTCAATGAAAATAAGTGGTCTAGGTGCCTATAGTGTCCCTTTAATGTTGCCTGTATCAAATTCTTTTCAACTTTGCCTAAAAATATACTGCTACAGATAAGCCGATAAAACACACACACACACACACACACACACACACACACATACACACAAAATATGGCTGGATTGTTTATAATTTGTAATGCAGAATTTACCATTCTGCACTTTTCTGCATTCTTTTAGAAAAATATGACAGCTTTTTAGCCCTAGCTATTACTGTAAATATATTTAGTAGAATGTTTGTCCTGAGCATAAGTACTATTTTGATACAGTAGCACCTCTATAATATGTTCATTAATTTAACTTAATTTTTTTTGTTTGTTAATATAACGAAGATGTCATCATTCTCTAATATAACCACAGAAAACACTCCCATGCTCATAAACACTGTTCTGTGTTTGTTTTGTCTTGAAAGAACACATTGTATTACGTTTGACACACCTTACTTTCAACTGGTTTATTATAACATAATGCTGTTTCTTTTTAG